CGGCTCGGCTCGGCTGGGCTCGGCTGGACTCGGCTCGGCCCCGCCCCGCCCCGCGGGCGGTCACTGCGGCGCAGTCGCGGCGCCGCCATCGCGGGCAGATGCAGGCGATCAAGTGTGTTGTGGTGGGCGACGGGTGAGTGCGGGCGGGGCCGCCCCGGCCCCCGCAGCCCCGCACAAAGCGGGACCGGGCCCGGCGGCGCGGAGGGAGGGAGGGGTGACGGGAGGGAGGTCCGGCCGGCCGGCCCCGCCCCGCGGCTCGGAAGAGCCGCTCCGCCGGCGGGAGGCCCCGCGCCGGGCGGCGAGGCCCGACCCGGCCTGGATCGCCGCGGTCCCGGCTCAGGCGGGGCCGACGGGCCGAGCCGCCGTCGCGGCCCGGCGGGAGATCGGGGCCTTGCGGCGGCCCGCGCACTCCTGCCCCGCTCCCTGCTTAGTTGATGAACTTGAGTCTCGGTCCCCAGGCGCTCCCCAGCCCCATCGGGCTGCCTGGGTAGCAAACACCGGCTTCTCTTGGGTTTTACGTCTATCTCCTCGTTGTTTTAGGTGCCCGTATTTCGCTATTTTTCATTGTACGTGTTTGATTCGTCACAGAGTCCTCCCGAAAATCTTCGCAGGTTCCTCTGATATGTCCTTTTGTTGTTTGTTCCGAGGTGAAGTGTGTTGCTCTTTCTGATTTTATCATGTGCCCCTTGTCACCCTTTTTGCTCTTTTCTTTAGGCTCTTTCTGAATTCCTTTTTCTTAGAACACATCTGTGTGCAAGATGCAGGCATGCACTAGATTTATGGTGCTTTGTAACTTTCCTAGCTCATCCTGCATATTTTTCCTCACAATTCCAGTTTACTTTTCTGATCACCACAGGAAGCTCAGAGTTGAGGTACTGAGACCTAAATGGTCTTAGGCAGGGACTGGTCTTTCCCCTTTCCCAGGCATGTCACCACCTCAAATACACATTTGGGGTAAGGCCTTCCAGGTTCCAGTCTGTGGGGGCTAAAGAGGGAAAGAGGAGAAAGCCGACCACCAAAACAGCCTTATTGTGGAGGAGAGAGGAACAACTGGGAGCACAGGATGTTGTAAATGGACTTCAGCTGAAGGTTTACTGTCTTGTGTTTTGGTTTAAGCCCAAATAGACAGTGTAGACTAAATCATCCTGGTGCATCCAGGGGACTGTGTACTCTGCTAGAGTCTCTCCCTTACTCCTGAAGTCTTTCCTTATGTTACTCTGATTACAGAATTGGGTAGGGGATATGCAACTCTGCTGACTATTCAGCTTCTCTCAGGCACCTCACAGCCAGCTTTCCCTGGCACTCATGGTCTGTGTTTCTGGAAGGTTGTCTGTAGTTCACAACTTTCTCAGTGATAAAGAAGTTGCTCACACTGCTGGTACTCCTCTGTTCTTACAACAGAGCTTTCCCTTAGGAAATGTACAGGGCTGGCTAAAGTCTGTGTGCTTACGCTCTTGCCAGCCAGACCTGGCCCTTGCTACTCCCACTAGCCTTCAGCAAAGCCCTAAGCTGATACTTCAGCCCTCTAAATTGATCTCTTTCCAAAATGACAGTGGTCAATTTTAAAGTTCATTTTTGTTTATGGATACTTATTGTTTTCCCTTTGTATTTATTGATACTAAATTCCTGTATCTGAGGAGCTTGTAGAGTTCTGTGTTGTTGCATGTTTTTTCACCTGTTTACCCGTTTTGCTAGACCATTATGGATCTGTTGAGCCCAGCACACAGCCTTAATTTATTCTTTCTCTTGGTTCCTGGAACACTCTGTTTTGCCTGGTGTCTTGCTGAGGCTGGATGGGGAAAAGGAATGGGAGAGAGCAGGGTCAGTGAGTGCTCAGGCAGGGTGCACGTTAAGAGTTCAGGCCTGGCCCCTGACAAGTAGGGAATTCCAGTCTGCTACAGGTTTGTTTTCTCACACAATAACCTTTTGCCTAACGTTGTGTTTTGGAGTTGGGGGCGGAAGGGTGAGTTTTATTGCCTCAGTGCTACCTGCTGTACCCTTCTTTATGTTCCTCACTCTTATCCTCTGCAGAGCTGTTGGGAAGACCTGCTTGCTCATCAGTTACACCACAAATGCCTTTCCTGGAGAATACATCCCCACTGTGTGAGTAATAACCTTGGCCTCAGTTGCTTTTTGATCTGTATGCATGTGTGTGTAAAAGTTGTTTTTTAAGTGAGGAGGTGGCTGTCCCAAATCAGACTGTGATGATGCTGGAGGTGTGGCTGTGTATGTGAGGAAGGCAGACTGTCCCCACTGGAACTGTGCTGCAGTACCCTTTCCTGATTCACTGCCTTCTTGGATTTTGTATAGAGATGTGAAGGTCACCACAAAATTGTCACTGATGAGGGACTCCTCCTTGGCAGGTTTGATAACTATTCTGCCAATGTGATGGTAGATGGAAAACCAGTGAACCTGGGCCTCTGGGATACAGCAGGGCAAGAGGACTATGACCGACTGCGGCCTCTTTCCTACCCACAGACGGTGAGTGCTGGGCTTGGACTGGCTTGTAACTGCTCCCTCTCTGAGACAGGGAGGCTCCCAAGGACAGGCATGCTTCTTTCCATTGAGGAAAGTCCAAGTTGCTGCAGCTGTACCCATAATTCTGGTTGTTTAAGAAGTATCACAGCTGATTTTCTCCAAAGAGATTGTCCTGTTCTAGTCCCTGCTTTGTAATGGTCTTTGAACAGTTATGGGTGCCCCAGGGAGGCTCAGGTGAAAGGAATGGCATGAGGCTGCTGTGCAGCTGAGCCAGTTCCATGTTTCCACTCTCCCTTGGCAGGATGGCTCACTGTTGTGCTGCACTAGAAATATTCTCCACGTAGCCATGCTGCCAGGGTGAAGCCCTTAGCACCGTTAAGATGTTTGTGGCCGAAGGCTTTTAACATGCAGAGCTCAGCATTGTGAAAGAAGATGTAGTCATACACTCAAGGTCCATTCCTTTCCTCTCTGAATTAGCTTAACACCCTTAATGGGCAAGAATTTCTTAAAGCCACAGTCCTTGCTTGTGCGAGGACATTGTCCTCTCTCAGGATCCCTCTCCCCTCTCCCTCCATTCTCTTTAGCTGTTTCTTTCTGCACAGCTGACCCTCTTGTTTCTGCACAGGATGTTTTCTTGATCTGCTTCTCCCTCGTGAGTCCAGCCTCCTTTGAGAATGTCAGAGCTAAGGTAAGGTATTCTCCTCCTGGGTGAAACAGTGGAAGGGAAGAATCAGTGAGGTCCCCTGCCCCACCCGGCACCACACTTACAAGCCCAAAATTTCAAGCAGTCATGTCTTGGTGAGGGAAGGTCATAGTCTGCAGGTTTTAAGTGGGGCCTGCTTTTTATTCATGACTTCTTTAGCTAAGTTACTGCCTTTTTGAATCTGCATCCTAAAGGGTGTTCTAGAAACTAAAATGTAGTTAAAGGAAGCGCTGTGTGCAGAGCTGACGGGCACTGTCTGTCATGATTCTGTGTGTCAGCATGTTCATTATTACATTTGCACCGATCTCTTTCTGCAGATATTCAGAGCTGTAGGCAGCAGTATCCTCTGCAGGTGTTGACACCATGTCAGCTAGTAGTAAACCCCTCATTCCCAACAGTAGGAACACATCCTCACGGTTGTGGCCATTGCTGTAGCTACTTTTCTTATCATGTCTCTCTGTTTCAGTGGTACCCTGAGGTCCGACACCATTGCCCAAACACACCTATTATCCTGGTGGGCACCAAGCTGGACTTGAGGGATGATAAGGACACCATTGAAAGGTTACGTGATAAGAAACTGGCTCCTATCACCTACCCCCAAGGCTTGGCCATGGCTCGGGAGATCGGTGAGTCTTCTGTGCTGGCAGATCTCTGTGGCATTGAGGGGGTGAGGGACAGTGTGTGGTGGTAGAACCAGAGTGGTTGAACTGGAGCTCTCTTTCCCCAGGGTCAGTAAAGTACCTTGAGTGCTCTGCCCTGACACAGCGGGGCTTGAAGACGGTGTTTGATGAAGCCATCCGGGCTGTGCTCTGCCCACCGCCTGTGAAGAAGCCTGGCAAAAAGTGCACCGTGTTTTGAGGGCTGTGGCCTCGGTGCTGGCTCAGCATGTTGTCGTCCTCTGACAGATTGCGTATTAGCTGGGTGTTTCTGGAGGGGGCTGGGATGTGTAGGGCCCTTCATCATGTACGAAGTCAGTGTTTTTTAAATGTCTCTTTGATTTAACGTCAGTGTTGATGTGAAGGGGCAGTGGGGGCAGGAGACCAGCTGGGGGCTGTACAGCCCCCAGGGGAGGTACAATGGGGAAGGCAAGGTAGCTCCTTCGGGCAGCAGGCTGTTTTGGCTCTCCTGAACTCTAAGCTGAAAGGCCTGAGACATCTGTCCTGTCCTGGAAATGCCTGTTTTAAACCTGCAGGTGAAACAGGTGGTGAATATCCTGGTGGGAGTGGGGAGGGAGCTGATTTCAATGGTGCTGAGAGACAACAGCAGCTGGGAGGGTGGTAGGGTCTCCTTGCCCAGCCTGCTGTGGCTAACAGTTAACAAACTGGTGCTCTAGCAGAATGTGCCTGAGACTGTTAAAAAAATCATAACCAGCCCTGGAAGGGGTCGAAGTAAAAGAGAAGCTGAAGAACTAATCATTAGGTGCTTTATTGGGTACTAGCCAAACTGTGCATGAAACAGCTCTGTGCAATCAATGCATTTGCCTTTTTGTGTGTGCACACCCTAGGAGAGCATGGTGCTGCTCCCCCCCATCAGTCTTTAGCAGGGCCTCCCCCCAAAATCCAGTCTCTGCAGAGCAGGGCTGGGGTTGTTGCCTCTATTTTGTTTTTTTCTACTTAAGACAGCAAAGGAAGCAATGAGAAGTCTGCTAACTTCTTTCCCTTCCCACTGAAAGTGCAGACAGGCTCTATGGTTTTGGATGGAACAGGGAGAGCTTCTGAAGGGTTGTGGGGGGGGAACAGGGTTGGAAGAGAGGTCCAATTTTTAATCATCATGTAGAGTGACAAGATAAAACCTTATTTGGTGCAATAAACATTCTCCATGACGATGTATGTGAGCTTTATTATATAGCAGCCTTCCAAAGGTTATTTTCTGCCTCACTTCTCCTACAGGCTCCAGCTCTGCTGCCCCTCCAGCAAGATTATGTCTGTGTCATTGTTTTCTATCCAGTTTACATCTATGCAGTACCAGTAGGGAAATTAAGGCCGAGGTGAAATGCAGGGGCCATCTTAGGAGACAAGAAAGCCCCCATCAACCATCAGTGAGCTGCCAGTTGTCATAGCACTCTTGCCACTCAGCAGGAAGAGAATGCTGTTCACCACATCATCCACCTCTGCAATCAAACACAGAGAACATCTAATGCACACCTCAAATTGTATCAGAAAAACAAGCATCCAAAGAGGTCTGCCTTGGACCTCTACATGTAATTAGAGCACGGAAGTATTTCTGCTTCCAAACTGTGCTTGATGCAGTGTCCAGGACAGCATAGCTGAGAGCTGGACATTAAAAAGTCCTTGTGATCAAATGATGCTTAGTTCACAGCAAACATCCTGTCAGATTTATGAACAATAGAGTAAGTTCATTTCACTTGTCCCAAGATGAGGAGGCTGTAGAAGAGGGGAAGAGAAGGTTGATTCTCACCCAGTCCTCGTCAAATACTTCAGGAGTTCAGCCAGAAGGCATTCAGCAGAGCTGTGACTTTGCCCAAAAAAGCAGCAAAGTAACTCTGGCTGTTCCGTGAGAGGGAAGGCTTGAGACAACACGAGAGCCCAGCCTGGGAACAGACCTATCCCACTGACCTGCAAACTTTCCCAGGGGAATCCGATTAATCATGGCAGCGGATTTCTGAGGGTCACTCCAGTTAATTCTCCCCATGTCAGTCATAACCACGGTGGGGTTCACAGTGTTCACCCTAATCTGGGACCAGCAGCAACAAACAATCTAAGCAGGCTCCTCTGAGGAAACGCTCAGGTTCAGCTTTCACACCTTCTCTCACAGACTCCTACCTTGTGGGGTCCCAGTTCCATTGCCATTACCTTGGTCAGCATATCCAAAGCACTTTTTGTGGAACCTTTAAGGGAAGGGAAGAACGGGAGGCGTTAAGTGCATAACAAAGCACCTGGTCTGGAACAGACTGGGACATTTCACTGCTCTGAACTGGGAGCTGGCAGCTTGGTGGCTGTGGGTCTCCAGCTGGTCAGAACTGAGAGGGACACTGCTGAAGCTGCACATACTTACAGTAAACGGCGTGATCCCTCAGCGCACGCTGCGAGGCCTGGCTGGAGACATTCACAATAGCCCCTGCCGCTCCCTGCGCGATCATCTGCCGAGCAACGATCTGGGAGGGGGAAGGAGAGAAACAAAAGGAGTGCCAGAATCCTAACAAGAAAAATCTATGGTAGCCAAAAGAGCAAAAACATCTGGAGGAAGCAAGTCCTCCCTGCCTCCCGCTTACAGGAGAGTCAAAGTGTGAAGGGTCTGTACGGGCAGGTTGTCAGGCTGACTTTGGATTGCATCCCTTTAGTCCCCACAGTGGACACTTATCTGCGCTATGTACAACAGTCACTGCTATTCATGGAGACAGCAGCAGTGACAATTCTTCCTCACCTGGGAAACGTGAAGCACAGCCCCAAAATTCACATCAAGAGACCTACAAATAAAATCAAATTTAAACGTTACAGAGTGGTTGTAGGCCAGGCCAGACAGCTGTTTAAAGAGGCAGCAGAGGACAAGTGCTGCTGGTCTCTTGGAAACACTGGTGATACTCTGACACAGACAAATGCTGAGCTGTTGGCCGAGCCAGGATGCTCAGGAGTGCTCTCGGCAATGAACAGTCCATCAGCCACAGGCGTGGCACTGCCAGGGGAGGTGCAGTTGTGCACTGGCATGTTTCCCTCAGGACTCTGTCCTTCATCAGCCTAATGGAGCTTCCTCTGACAAAGTTTAAACACTAAGCCCTTGGGCCTCAGCCAGTGGCAACTCTTGGGTCAAGCAAATCTTTCACACGGCTCTAAAGAGCAAATCTGTTGTAAGGTGAGTAGAGGCAGTGTTTCTTCTGTTTGCCATATCGTCCGTCCTTTGTCAGGCCAGTTCTGCAGAATGGTCTTAGCAGAATCCATACCTTTTATGTTCGTCACAAACAAATCCTTTATTATAGACTCTCAACGGACGTTTTTAACATAGGGTCAAAGCAGGACCCATCCTCTCAGAATGATGTGGACTCACCCATAGCCTGTATCCTAAAGCTCACTCCCAGACAAACTATGGAGTTTTTCAGAGAAAAAGAGGCCATGTTATTGTAGTAAGCAAATTTAATTTCCCACTGTGACCGTTTTATGCTCCCTTACCTGGCTTTGTCTTCTCTGTTTCTGAATTGTCTTAGTGACAACTGCCTTTGACTTTAACCGGGGCCGAGTTGGAACTAGACTGGAAGCTCTGAGCTTGATGAGCAGCAAAGGCACTCACCTCCTGTGCCAGTGGGATGGCAGGTGCACCCCACCATTTTGGAGGTGACACTGCAGGTTCTGGCTACTGAGAAACAGGCGTAATACCCAGTGTTTGGTTTCCTTTTGCTGTTTATAGGGGGAAAGGTGATTACGTAAGGAATGAACAGACAGTAAAGAAAAAGGACATATGGAGTAACAATCAACTGACATTTGGCATTTCTAAAAGCATGTGTGTCAGCCTGTCTGGTGTCTGTGCACCAGCTGCTGTCCTTTCTAGTTGCTTCTCGTCTCAAGACACCTGTTTCTGAAAAGTTCTGCCACCGTTTTTGACGTTCACGGCTGTGCGACACCTTGGCGGGGCAGACTCGGTCCCAGAGCCTCCGCCGGGGAGGCCGGGGCCAGGCACTCACCTCTGCAAGGCCTCCCGCGTCACCTCCAGGAAGGGCTGCAGCTCCGCCACCGCCGCGTTGTTCACCAGCAGCTCGAAGGGCCCCGCCGCGCCCACCGCCGCCTCCGCCGCGTCCCAGTCCGCCAGGTCCAGGCAGAGGGGCTCGATGCCCGGGCACTGCGGCGAGGGCGGCCGCGTGGGTGGGAGGCCGCGGGGGAGCCGGGGGGCCCGGGGGGTTATCCCGGGCGGGACGGGGGGTGGCCGGTACCTCCCGCACGAGGCTCTCCAGGTCCGCCGCCGTTCGGCTCAGCGCGGTCACGCGGGCCCCGGCCCTGCTCAGCGCCACGGCCACGGCGCGCCCGATCCCTGCGGGGACACGGCGTCACAGCCCGCCCGGCACGGCCCCCGGCCCGGCGCGACCCCCGGCCCCCGGCCCCGGCCACCTTTGCCGGCCCCAGTGACCAGGGCCCGCCGGCCGCGGAAGCTGGGATGCGGCTCCATGCTGCGAGCGGACTGTGGCCGGGGCGGGCCCGCGGCCGAGGCGGGGCCCGGGAGCGGGCGGCCCGATAGGGCCGGGCCAGGCAGCGGGAGCCCCGGCGGAACGCAGCACGGAGCCATCCCGGGGCTCACCCAGCAAGAGACAGGCGCGCAGAGGTGAAGTTTTTTGACTCTAAGTCTCACTAAAGTATCACCTTGAGCGTCCACAGTAAACCAGGCTTTTTAGCGGCTGATGAAAAAGACCTGCCTACTCTACCCATTCGAATTTGCTGATGTAAGATGACAATAATTAATGTCCTCCTTATCTCAAGTTTTTGACTTTGTTAATTATCATTTGGAAGGATTCTTCTCATCCATATTTGCTCTCCCACCCACCCAAATAATTCATCTCCCGTGCTTTTTGGCCATTGGCATGACATGAGCCTGACAGAAGGCTGCAGATTTCCAGATTAGAGGGTTTATGGTCCATTTTTTGTATAGAACGCATGTGAAGAAACATGACAAAACAAAGCCTTTGACATATTTAAATATTTATTTTGTAGAATCACTTTATGTATGAAAAAGCAGTTTTATTAAAAAGCTGCATCCTGATAGATCCACACAGCTTACTGTATTCTCAAGACAAGAAACCATGGAAGGAGCCTGAACACACCAAACAGTTCCCTACTGCCTTGCAGGAGAACATGGTCCTTTTTAAGTTCCATAAACACCCTCCCCACTTTGAGGGCACCGCCTCTTTGGCACACCTATTTTAGGTTGACCAGTGACCACAATGTGAAACTTCTACTTAGTTTTGCTGCCATCAGTATGAGGTGTTGTAATTTTTTAACTGCAGTTTGCCATACAACTGCCACCCAGTCCATGCTGCCTGTGTTACCTTACAAGAGGCTGCTTCCAGTGGAAGGGGAAGAAAAGCTCCAACAGAAGAATTCAGAATCAGTGCTTGAAGACAAAATCGCCTCAAGAGTTCATGAAGTTTCATTTTTCTGCTACAGGAGGTTAAAAACAAGAACCTAACAAGTGTTTTAAAAAAATTATATAGATACCAGGAATCTCCAGAGCTATTAATGACCAATCATTAAACCACAGGGTGCCTCAGTTCTAGTCAGCAGAAGATCTAATAAGGAGGCAGAACCTACTGTTCCTCAAGTCCTCCTCTGTTTTCTGTGCCGGGCACACCTGTAACACTGACAGCCCGTTATGGAACAGTCACTGTGCTGGCTGGATTTTGAGCCAATTCCCTGCAGCATTCTTATTCCCACACCTCACAGTCACCTTAGGACATACGAGAGAAAGGAAAAATATAAGAAGGAACTGCAGGACTGTAACAGAAGTCAGCTTGTTTCTTCCTCAGTAGAACTGAGTAGAACATGCAAGGAGGACAAAGTACTGAGGTAAAAGCTGAAAGTTTTGTGTTAAAAAGCAGAATGCAGGAAACAGTATATTTCAGAAGGCTGACACCTTTGCTAAATGGCATCATAGAATACACTGCAGGCATTTGTCAGGAAGTTCAGTAACTAGCTGAAGCCCACAGTACAGCTGAGCACAGCTGTTTAGAAATCTGAAACTTCTGCTAGGTCTGCATTCTAGTCAGCAATCATAGTTCCAGATCATACACTGTAATTCCATTATTCTCCCCTTAATTCAGCCTTAGATTCTAGCACTAAACCAGCAAGTATTTTTCGAAGAGTTTGAAAGAATGAACAGTGATTTTGCAAAGTCATTTTTCATGCTGTTCTTCAGGTCAGGTGGGGATTGCACATGGCCAAAGTCTGGGCTAACAGGAAAGTAAACATATGGAGCCCCGTTCCTTGCACTTTCAAAACTGTTTACTTTCTTTAAACAGCAGCAGCAGATGATACTGCTACAGCACTGAACTTCTGCCTCTGTGTGAATGAGCACATTCATAATGTGCTCCTTTAAGTGACTGGATGAACTATTTATCAAAACATTAAGGAATAAAAATAAGCACTGATCTTGACCTTATGTTAATTGGAAGATTATCTGAAGAAGCTGGAGTAACCATGGTCATACAATTAAAGGTCCTCAAATGACACCATCAAGACCTTACTCAGCACATTGCAGCTATCTAGCATTTCTCCTCTCTCAGACAGCTTCAGAAACAGGGCGTGTTTTGGCAGCCCAAGTTGTGCCAGCTCATGCGACCAACTACAGGCAATGTGGCAGAAATGATTACCATCTTGTCTGGCAAATATTTCTTCAGTATCAAACATCAAGGGAATAGTCTCGGACCTGGCAGACCACCATCATAATCAGCCACTGCAGTTCCGTTGGCAGGCGAGCCAGGTCTGACAATCACCTCCACAGGAGGTACACATGGACAACAGGGGAGGATGTGCACTGTAAGCAACTCTTATCCAGTCCTGAGTAAGCTTACCCTTACACAGAGTTTTCTCATTACAAGGGCTTTCAGCCTTGTTTACCTTAGTGATTCCAGGATTTCTGTATTTAAGAACAGACCCTATTCTGGCCCACAGGTGGAGTTTTGATCTAGCAGGCCAAAGAAGCTCTTAAATAATTCTGTTCCCAAGAAAGATGAGTGAAAACTTCCCCTCTCTTGTCACCATGGGGACTACAGACTGCTCTAGCACTCCAGCTTCAAGACAATGGCTTCTAAAAGCCCCTAAGGGCAGTAAGAAGGGTCTCACTCCCAGTACTGCATTTGCCTCAGATGTACCCAAGCACAGGTTCACATGACATCAGAAGAAAGTGTAAAGTGACTTGTACACACAGCACTGTGGTCATCTTACGAAAAACCACCGTACAAAAGAACAAAGATTCTTCTTGGAACGTTCCATGCTGCAGCTGAACAAACCACACCTTATTGCTTTTCTAAATAGTCTGTCTATCTCCTTTGTAGATAACACTGGTTGTCTCCCAGAAGAAGAATAAAACCACCAAAAAAGTCCACCACAACTCCTGCAAACTAGGTAATATACAGGTGTCAGTGGCTGGTCAAGAATTATGACATCTTCTTAGCAGGGCACCAAACAGTGTCAGGATAAAGCAGACAATGGACAGATTTAAACCTATGGGGGGCAAAAAAAAAAAAAAGACAGTATTAGATTGGAATTCTCCATACATGGAACATACTAGCATTGGGTGTGCAGCAGTCTGACGGAGCAGAGAGGGTGGATTTACCAACTTCCAGCACAGCAACAAGAGCTGACAAGAGAAAATAACCCCACTAGTGAGTTTGATCATCTGACAGATGATAAACATGAACAAGGTAGGGAGATCTTGTTTTGGAAGTGGACACTCACCGGGTTGGATCTTGCTGAAGGCCAAACACTCCTCCCACACTCACAACATTGTGTTTGTTCTCAGGGTCCCCGTAACTCAAGGTTACCTGTAAAAACAAATAAATATTTCAAAATGGTAACACTAATACAGAAAAACAGAGTGGAGGTAGCAAGGTTATTAGCAAGGTACCAAGAAAGTCTCCAAGAATGCTGATTAATCTGAACATGGATCACATTTGGAGGACAGTCATTAGTTGTGACATAAGCAATGTTGGCATTGAACTGCACTAAAGGCAATGTGGGAGAATACACAGAGGATCTGAAAGTTGCATTGCCCTGAAGGATGAGTTCCCACTGTAAGCTTTGTGAGGACATTAATCCTGCTCCTGTCTGTACCTTCACTAAATAACACATGTTCATCCTCACCAAACATTGCCTGAAGTCTGCAATAGCAATGCTTTAGTACAGAGGGAAAATAGAAACATTTGTATGTTAAACGGCATGCAAAGGACTGCCATGTGAAAAACCTGGAACACAATTTAGATGTGTGGAACCTCAGTTCAGTGCTATTCTTCCACACAAGCACTGTATTAAGAAATTTTCAGGTGCTTTCTAATTGGACATTTCCCAGATTTCGGGTTAGCAGTTACCATCTCAGGGAACCAGTGATCACCAATGAAACAATATTAGGCCTACGGTCCAACTCACTAACATGAAGGAGATTACATCACAGTGGAATTTGGCCCCAAGTGCACATTTCTGCTGCCTAATACAATTGCCAGGAAAATATAACCAAGCAGCTTGCAGGGGCAAAAAAGCACTCCCGTTCTCTCACGGTGCCAAGCAGCATGAGGCAGGCAACGCTGCTGGATGGCCTTGTGGCTCCATCTGCTGCCCAGGAGGAAAAACATATCCCAGCAATTATAAAACTACTTGATTTTTCCTAAGAAACATTAATTTTCTTGAGGTTCAGACAAATTATTCTTAAAAATGATCGAACATTTAACTTCATCTTAGCTATTGAAGAAGTACTTGCTATAGCTGCCTTTTTGAACAGCATGAATTAAGACTGAGACTTTGTTAGGCAAAACCAGGAAGACTATTTAGCAAACTAAACATTGCCTCCTTCTACACTTGCTGCTACTGCCACTCACAGAAAGTCAGGGCTTAGAAGAAGATGGGAAATACTCTATTTAGACTCCAGGTAGCATAATGTGTCCCCAAAGGAGGGGACAGCCATATGACCTAGCTGGCTAGGATGAAAGTGTGCTTTTTACCTAAATGAAGGACTTGGGCAGAACACAGCTCTGAGTGAGTCTGCAGACATCCTTCTTTGCTGAAGAGTGCTACATCTACGCAGAGTACTCTTTCTGATCAGACTGAGGTGTAATTTTAAGGATAAGACATGAGGCACAACCCTACCTGCTGCAACACAGACTCGCCTTGTAGTCTCTGCAGATTTTCCAGGTGGGAATGGAACAACGGGCTGTGCAGCAGCTTTACCTCCAGCAGCCCTTCAATGATGTAGCCAATGGTGCAGTCGTCGGGAAGACGCACCCTTTCCGCAGTACTGATGAAGTTGCCCAGGCTGTGAGAGAGAGTGTGGGAGACAAGAGAAAATGTGTTTTAAAGCCTCCCAAACATGTATCAATGGAGCTCATATAGGAACAGTGCTTACCTGGCCCAGGGACTCATCTTCAAGGCAAGACCTCTGCTGATACAGAACCCTGCTCCACCTGTGGCAAACCAGAATTTCACGGTTGTCTTCTGAAGAGCAACAAGAAAAAACACACAGTAATTAATGATAATCAGCTTTTCCCATTTGGCTGGGCAGGGAAGGGAACTTGAAATTCTATTGGATATCACATACTGCACTTGCCAAAACAAGGCTACAGACAAATCCCTATTTGTTTAGGCTGCTGAAAGCCTAGCTAGCTGTTCTCTCAAATGAAACTCTATCTTGGAACAGACAGCAGATGAACCATCAAATTAGCATATTGCAGGTAGCACACATGAAATGGAAAACTATAGTCCCACTCCTACCCGATTCCATCTGTCCCCTGGTCGTTCTAGCCAAGGGTCACAGCCAGCTCAGTGCTCCTGAGGATATCAAAGGTGGTCAATTATACACTTGGCTGCACATCCAAGGAGACTATTTTGTTGTGCAGTCTTCCCTAACAAGCTATTTTATAACTGAATTTCTGGCTAGTGGATTGATTTATCTTTAGACCTGTCAGTACAGGTGGCCTGCTTAGGACTTGTCCTTTAGCATGTGTATCTTGTGATTGAGATATGTTTGCTTCCAGTTCTTGGAAACCTACTAACCACTTGGAACTAGAAATGCTTTATTTATCTAGAAAGCCTTTGTCACCCATCTGAGGTTGGTTCAAGATGATGACAATGTGACACTGCACTCAAAACAAACAAACAGAAAAACCCCTCAACTCCAACTCAAACTCCCAAGCCCTACAACACTGCCCCATAACCTAAAGGAAAAGGAAGAGTCAACGTGGGGAGGCCCTACTTAGCTTAGTGTGAGGGACATCACAACATCCATGAGTAAAGGAACAGAAACAGACACCCACCCAGGAGACAAACTCCACCGTACATATGCATACAACGTCGGAGCAAAGGTTCCTTTAACCCAGCACCGTGCCTCTGAAAATGACCAGTGCCAGGTTCACCTCCTGCAGATTAAATCACTTGGGTTTATGGGGGAATCCTATGAACTGTCAAGGTTTTAAAGGCTTAGAAAGTCAGGATGTCTCTCAGACAAACTGTAAAGTTTGCTTACTGATCCATCACTTTGGACATGATCAGCTGCTTCGATGGGATGGTCTAGACTCGGTCGCCCCACATAGACATCCTGGCTGTGTGAGAAGGCAGACAGGAGATGCAGGAGAGTCCGAGGGTTCACATAGTTGTCATCGTCCACATGGCAAAACCATCTTCACACGAAACAGAACAAGAAGTTACAGGGACAAAGAAATGAGCTACAGGTTTACAACTGAGACTTAGTCTTTCAGGCTTTGGAGCAGGAAGTATTTCTTATTGCCCTAAATTACAGATTTGGAAAGCTGAAAGCATCCACAGATGCTAATTCTGTAAAGAGGCTGAAAAGAATAACCCCCTTTAGATCATAATCTTTTCCACCTTCCAAATGATGCTTGTTTAAAAACACTGCTTCATACTGTGCTCCCTTCCATGCACTCATCCCTACATTTTAGCTAAGACTGCATTCCTTACTGGAGCAGAGATGGTTATTCAAGTTTCCTGTGAACACAGAACTGGAAGAAACAAAGTCAATCGCAACAATGTGTTTCACCTACTTTTGCCCAGATTCCAGGAATTTATCATATTCCACAGACATCTTGCAGCAGAGAGCTTGCCGAGTATGGACAGCAGAACAGTTGGTGTTGATCATATGATCCCCTGGAAAAATAAAGACCAGCCCTTTCAGGTTTGTGAAACATGTGTAGTCCAAAAAGGACTACAAAAGAAGTGCACGTTTGGCACTAATCCTGTACATCTGAGGTCCATATGGTGCATACATGGGGAGCAAACTGCAGGACAGGCAGGGATCACAGGTTATGCATCTGGCATGCAAGCTGCAGAGGTCATAAAATTGTGTGAGTCCACAAAAATGAGGGTATATACACAGTGCCATGAGACTGTGTGCAAAGGAAATACCTAGTATAACTCTAAGACCACATAGACTTAAGCTTACTAACAAGAAGAAAGTGGATGCAAAGGTGAACCCAGTCTTTAGGAAGTTCCAGACATCCTATTCAGGTGGCAAGCAGGGAGAAGTTTTCTCCATCTTAACTTCCCTAACTGCTTGTACAGCAGGAAATAAGAACTTCTAAGAAAAGTATGAAAGAAACAAAACTCACAACAGATAGCATGCACCTAGGCTACACAGCTCACCTGCTTTCAGGCGTAGCTCCTGATCCTCCCAGTCTGTGAATATAAATGTCTGTGGGAGACAAAAATGGTGTGTCTACATTTGAGAATTTCAGAAACTAATTTAAAGCTTGTTCAGTTGCAGTCAGAATTCGGAATGTTATGTCTGTTTTGGCTTGTTTCACAGTAGCCACTGGAGTGGGGAGAGACAGCTCCAGCAACTTCAACCCCTACCTTATTTGTTAAGTTTTTTCATTGCAAGCCAGAAAATTGTCATTTCAATACAGCATCCTATAACTTACTCTTCTAGTCTCAGGGCACAGATAACCAATTTCCAGATAGAAATGACTTTGATCTTTTTTGGTAGTACCTCCTCTCTCTGGCTGGGAGTCATCCACAGCTATCGAATAGATTAAAAGGAAAGAATGCAAGTCAGGGTGGGAAGTGGCAGGTGGCAACACTGTCCCGTCCCATCTGCTAGACAAAACTGCCTTACTATGCTTGAATGGGCTGAAATTCTGAACCAAGGGAACTACTTTTATGTTGTTCCACAGTAAATCGTAAGCGGCTGAACTTTTTGTTCCAAAATAGTGGTTTAGATGCACCAGCACTAGGGTTCTTTCACTCTTGCGTAGCCTTTTTCACAGTCATACACAAATCAGCAAATTACGTCTACTTGGACCACCGATGCCAGACTGCAGCTAAGTAGCTTAATCAACAACGCCTCTTTAGAGGAGGAATCGTTTAGACGACGTTCCTCAGTCCTAAAAGGAAATCTGCTTTTAACGCACGCTTTTTAACACCCGGTGAAAAAGGGCAGCAGCCGCCCTGGCACACGCAGGGTCGAAGCTCCCGTCCCCGCCCGCCGCGAGGCCTCACCTGTCCCCGCGCCTGGGAGATCCAGGTTTGGAGGAGCAAGTCCAGCCGGCTCTTGTGGTACTTCCTCGTGGTCTTCACCGCGATGAAGATATCCTTCAGCTCCAGCGCCTCCCTGGCAGGGCCCGCGGCAGCGCCGGGGCGGCCCCTGCGCGCAGGCTGCGGGCTGCCCACGAGGCCTCGGCCACGGCCGCCCGCGCCGGGCCCGCTAGAGCCCGCAGGGCCCGGCCGGTGCGGCGGGGCGGCGCTGGGCCCGGCGGCGGGCGGGGCGCGGGGCGCGGGCGGGCGCTGCCCCCGCGGCAGCAGCAGCAGCAGGAGCGCGGCGGCGCCCAGGGACAGCAGGACCCCGGCCCTGCGCAGCCCCAGGCAGGGGCCGCTCATGCTGTAGCCCCGCGGGCCCCCGCCGCACGGCGCGGCCGCCTCATGGCCCCGCGGGCGGGCGGCCTCGCGCTCCGGGAGGTGGCGGCGGCCCCGCGCAGGGAGCCCCCGGAGGTTGCCGCGCCGCCGCCGCGGGGCCGAGCGGGGCCGCGGCCCCTTTAAGAGCTTCACCTGTCGGACGCGGCCCGGCGGCGGCGCGCGGCCCGGAAGCGGAAACGGGGCGGGCGGGGCGGGAGCCGGAAGCGGCGGCCGAGGGGACGATGCCGCTGCCCGTCCAGGTCTTTAACTTGCAGGTAACGGGGCAGCCGCGCCCCCCGGCCCGTACCCGCGCGGTCCGGCCCCGCCGCGTTCCGCGCACCTCCCGCGCAAGGTCCGGCATCCTGGCCCGGCCGCGGCCGCCGCGGGCGCGCTGTGGCCTTCCCCGTCGACTCCGCGGGAAGGGGCCGCTGTGGGCAGGCCCTGGGCCCTCGCTCGCCCTTCCGTCGGGTCCGGCTGTGTCCCTTCCGCCGCCGTTGGCGACGAGGAACCCTCAGCCGAGCGTCATGCGGTCCCCGCCGCGGCCCCGAGCTCGGGTCCCGCGCTGTGCGCGCCGTAGGCAGGGCCGAGGCTCTCGAGGAGAGCGTGGTGAGGCTGCCGGTGAGGAGGACTTGAGAGTCTGCAGTGCAGGGGAGAGCCCTGGGAGCCCTGAGGGGTCGGTGACACTCGGTACCTGCGCAGGCGATCCTTTGCGGGTTCTCTGTCAGGGCACGGGCTTGTGGGAAGTGAGGCACAGGATGAGGGACAGTTCAGCTTCCAGCTCTGCCTCTTCGTCAGTGACAGGTCTGTACTGAACCCCCCTCCAGCAGTAGGTCACTCCTCTTCCTCCGGAGTACAGCAGGAGACTTCAGCTCAAGTGCCAGTGAAAGGCCTGGTGAGGTGCCTTCAACAGGGTGCCTACTATGGTAGGCTTACACAGCCTAAACAAAGCAACCCTGGCACTTAGTGTTTATGGTATGAGAAAAAAGATAAGGGAGATAAAAATGGAAAAAGTAATGGTCTCAACTTATGGTGACTTAACTATTTTTATGCACGTTTTTCCTGAGTTGTGATCTAGACAATAAAACTTTTCTTTGCACCCTCTCTCCCTTTCTTTCACGGAAAGATTATTATACTAGGAAACAAACTTTTACATGCTTCACTTGCTTTTGCTTCAGATTTTGGGCAATTCCACATCAGTATCGAGATATGTGTGTATTTGGTATGTACCAGTTTGTGAAAGAATAAACAGGCTGTGGGTGAATGTAATGTTTAGACTTAGGAAATCTGGATCTGCCCTGTTCCTTCTCACAGAAAAACTCCAAAAAAAAGAAACCATCAACCCAATCAAAAAAAAAAAGTCAGTTTTTGATTTCTTAACAGACAGCAAAGTTAATAAAAACATGGAAACAATTTGGTGTTGATGGAAGCAAGGTGGTTGGCATTTCTGTCTTTTCTGAGATCCAGTTGTGTAATTTACACCAAATCAAGTGTATAATAATATAATATACAATATAATTGTATAATATCTGCACTAAATCAGCACTTTATAAGACATTCAGCTTGGTTTTCCTCAATTTAAATGGATAATTCCTAGGAGGAATGTTCAACACACTTTAACTAGGAGGAGGCAAAGAATTTACTGCCACCAGCTTCGTTTGTGGCATGGGGTGGCTGGTCTTACCTGGGACACGCACACAGGGGCTGTAACGGTGCTGCTGGGCTGAGGTCACTGCACTGCTGTGAGTCCTCAGGGTGTTCCCAGCAGGATATACTGGGAGAATAAAATTATGGTGTTTCTGCGAAAGAGGCTCTACGTAAGCAGACGGACTCAGACACTACAGTAGGATAGGTTCAGCTGATGGCAGATCTCTGCAGTGTAGACAGATTGTTCCTCAGTATATGTTGGAAACTGTGAAATTGCCATTCTGCATTCTGCTCTTTTTTTAATATTCTGAAAAGTGTAGCAGTTGTTGCCTTTTTCCCCCCCCAAAAAATATTACTTTTAAACATTAAAGCAAAGCAGTTTTAAAAGGTTCTGGTGGTTTTTTTGGTACATTTTGACTTTTGAAACTTCTTGAACTCAGTGGTAATGCCTGCTCTTGCTCAAAGAAGGGAAATGGAATGTCACTTGGAATTTGGCATGCATACCTGACATACTTTGTAAAATCAGATTTATTGACCCCCTTCTTGCTTGATAGTCTACCAAGACAAATAAAGGGTTCTGTGTGAACGCTGAGCCTTGCTGACCAGTGGGTTGCTAGAGAAAAATCCTAAATATATCAAAAGATTGAGGAGTGCTTTTTCATTTTTAAAATTTTACATGTATTTAAGCAAGTCTTTAATAGGTTGAATCGCATGGTTGTTTCCTGCTCAAATGTAATAAGCTACTTTTGACCTCCTTTTGCTATTCTAGGGTGCAGTGGAGCCCATGCAGATTGACGTAGATCCACAAGAAGATCAGCAAAATTCACCTGATATCAACTATGTGGTGGAGAACCCCACACTGGTACGTGCTCTGCTGAGGGCTGTGGGGACATTTCTTGAGTGTGGCCTCTTCCTTTAAGGATTTGGAAAAAATCCCTTTTGAAAAAAGTTAAAGCTGATTAGTCTTAACAGACGGCTGAAATTTAGAAAAGGTAATTGTAGTGCATATTTCTGAGGATATTACTAATGTTTGAAGAAAGCATGGACTAATCTTACCTGATTTTTTTATTTGTCTGAGTTGTGTTGCCCTCCTTGAAGGGGTCAGGTCTGCAGGAAAACCTGTGCAGGTCACAGTGCAGTAGCCTGAGTTGGTGTGTCCATCTCCACCTTCTGAGGCCAGGCTTTGTTGGCAGGATTTGGAGCAGTATGCATCCAGCTACTGTGGGCTGATGCGAATCGAGCGGCTGCAGTTCATTGCTGATCACTGTCCACAGCTGAGGGTGGAAGCTCTCAAGATGGCTCTGTCATTTGTCCAGAGAACTTTCAATGTTGATGTGTATGAAGAAATCCACAGAAAGCTGTCTGAGGCCACCAGGTACTAAGAAGTCATGGGAATATGGGGAGCTTTCCTGAAAGGGTTTAAACTGATGTGCCACAGTGGAAGACTTTGCATGTAATACCATAATGTTCCTTATGGAAATTGCCTTTGCCCTTAGAATTTTATAGCAGTGGAATGTGTGTTCAGGCCTAAGGTTCTCATGCTTTTTTAAAAGATAAAGCACAGAAATCTTAGTGGTTTTAAAAGCTGCAGGTAGATATTGAGTTGAGTTTAGTCCATGCAACTGCTTCAAATATTAATGAACATAGTTGTTTTTCCTTGGGTAGATTATGGTGACGAAACCTCTTCTATATGATTTTGTGGTCATAAGTTAAACCTAATCTAACTCTTTGCCTTGTTTTGGTTTGTTTTTAACTTTTTCCCCCTCTAACAACAGGTTTGCTCTTGAGAATAACCATTGACACCTGAACTTATCCATCTACATTTCTTATCTTTGCATTATTTTTGTTGCTATGTCTATTTGATGATTTCTTGTCTGTTTTGCCCTGGGAATCTTTAGCATGTGTGTGTGACAGTATGTTCATCCTAAGATCATAGGATAATTTTGAGAAGTCTTTGTAAACATCTGTGATGCTTATGTTACTGTTTGTACTGGAAATCTTATCAATCTTTTTCTTTTTTCTCCACTATCCTTGTTTTCTCTTTGATGATCTATTTTGTGTATGCAGTACATACATTGTTACATTTGTTAGGGTAGCAGTGCCAGGCACTTAGCCTAACATTAAGCTCTGTTCAAATGCTTTCAGAGAACTGCAGAATACACCTGATGCTGTCCCCGATAGTGGAATTGAACCCCCTCCTCTTGACACAGCTTGGGTCGAAGCTACACGCAAAAAAGCTCTTCTTAAACTGGAGAAACTTGACACAGATCTGAAAAATTACAAAGGGAACTCCATCAAGGAGAGTATCAGGTGAGAGGCAGAAGGCTCTGCTGGAGCAAGAAAGAGCATTTTGCTCCTCCATACACTTAACACAGGATGTTAACTAAGGCATTCAGTGCCTTAGGTCAGTGTGTTGAGTTACTTGATTGGAACAAACTGACTTTGTCCCTTTCTGAGCACCCAGTTCATTGGTGTTTTAATTCCTGTGCTCCAGGAGAGGCCATGATGACTTAGGTGATCATTATCTGGATTGTGGGGACCTCAGCAATGCTCTCAAGTGTTACTCACGAGCCCGTGATTACTGCACCAGTGCTAAACATGTCATCAACATGTGTCTCAATGTCATCAAGGTAGGAGGGTTTGCAGGAAATGGTATTTGGTTCTTTCTGATACCTGCTGCGACGTCCCCCCATACTTTGGTCTTGTGTCTGCAATGATGAGGCTTATCTAAGGAACCCCGTTTATCCATGGCTACCCCACGTTGTTTCTGGCTCTTTACAGGTCAGTGTCTACCTCCAGAATTGGTCTCATGTTCTGAGCTACGTAAGCAAGGCTGAGTCTACACCAGAGATTGCAGAAGTAAGCTCCTGCTTTTTAACTTGCATGAGTTTTCCCTTTGTTTTCTGTTTCCAAAATTTGTAAAGCAATTTCTTCCTTTCCCCCTTTATGACTTGCTCCATGTAAGACTTCCTCCTCAGCTGCTATACTATTCCTTTTGAGGTCATTGTTGCTTTTCTTCCATGACATGTGTGTACAAAGTCTGACTCATGGTAAAAACAGATACTTCCCATCCTCAGTTCTTACCATATTTCCTAGACAAATAAGATGAAGTTATCTTGCCATTGAGATTTGCAAGTTAATTATTAGGATAAAATATCCTGAAGACACTTGTAAGCAAAATAGGTTTTTTTGTACTGCTTGCTCACTACTGCTTTGTTTTATGCTTTAGCAAAGAGGAGAAAGAGACAGCCAGACACAAGCAATTCTCACCAAACTGAAATGTGCAGCAGGTGAGTGAGTCCTTCAGCTTCCTGGATGGTTTGCCTGTCTTTCTGCTTGTT